ATAAAGGGAGGGAGACGAAGGCTCTCACAGCGAGTTCATTTATTCGAGGACTTAACTAGAAAAGGGCTTAATATGGAAAAATGCGGAAGTGTCTTAAGGGGTCAATATTGTGGGGGTTAAATATTCACTTTAAATTTCATATGAATGGCTGAAGAACAACATAAAAGGAAAAGTAATTTCCTGAGTTCATCCTGTGTTTACATTTTCAGTAATGTAAAGAGACGTCCTGACGGAAATTTTTCAGCAGATTAAATGTCTCCCGTATAATCCGATTTTATCCTGCTCGCGCCATGGCCGTTCAGAGCAAAGACTGATTTTCTGGGCGTACAGGAGGTGTGCACCCCCACCCAAATATCCCCCCCCCCCAGGAAGTGTTCCCACCCAATGCACATAGAGAAATTTGCATCACCCCAAAAATTTAAATGCTCGTTGGATTAAATGATAGTAATATGATTGAAATAATGGTTTTGAACTAAACAAGACTAACTAAAAACAAGGATTTTGAATTAAATAAGACCAAAAATCTTAAAATTTCCAACCCTGTCAAACCCTGTCGGTCCCCACTGGCGACTGTGCCCCCAGACCCCCTGCTGCTTGCTCGGCAGCGCTACGCACCCCCTCGCTCACCTCCCCCCCCCGAATTTTGGCTCCCCTCGGAGCAAAATCTGTCTATGGTTCAGGGGGCGGGTAAATTAGCACATGGGGCTCAGTCCAATTTAAACTTTTAATTTTATCTACTTTTTAGATAATTGCCTGGCGAAACAGAAACGGATATTATGAAGAAATCACGCACTGTGGTAAGCTTAGGAATCCTTAGGAATCCTAAATCTATCCCATGCACAATAATATCTACTAAATATTTTCCTTCAAATTTAATGTATGTCGGCGACCTACAGTTTCGATAAAATATAAAACTAAGTGTGTTACGGAAAATGTTGCTCACTCGAATTTTACATTACATGATGTACTTCCCTCTCGCATCCAAGAAAATACTGACAATGAACTGGTCATCCATAACATCGCCATTATCCGTGAGTCTCTCCTTCCTTTCCAGCGACCTTAGCAAGAGGAAATTAAAGATGTTGGGTTCCATCAAAGAGAATCTCGCGGTAACAAGTCTTATTTTGCAAGTCCATGTCAAGTCACAAATTATTTCTCGCGAAGTCAAGTCAAGTCGAGTCACAGGTTCTTTTGTCTGTGACTAAATCAATAGACAATTCCCATTATAGACTAATTTTATAACTAGACAAGGGTATGCAAATAAATCACCACAGCTAGAAAGGGCATACTAAAATGAGCAAAATTGCAAAGTTTGGTTGCGAAATGTTGTAAAATGCGGGAAATATAGCCTTGCAAAGTTCGCAAATTTTCTATACTTTTGTATTGCGTGCGGGAATTGCTACCACATTTGGGCCGAAAATGGTGGCGATTTCCGCACGCAATACAAAAGTATAGAAAATTTGCAAACTTTGCAAGGCTACTATTTTCCGCATTTTACAACATTTCGCAACCAAACTTTGCAATTTACTCATTTTAGTATGTTCTTTCCAGCTGTGGTGATTTATTTACATCTCCTTGCCTAGTTTTAAAATTAGTCTATAATGGGAATTGCCTATTTAGTCACAAGTCATTTAGACCAAGTCAAGTTACTTCTTGCAAGAGTCCAAGTCAAATCACAAGTTATTCTGCACAGTTCTTTTTACAATGAACTGGAGAGTCACAATTATATATCAATATACAATCCATTACAAGCTCACAGTCATACAGCGCGATACGCCAACCTGGCTGCACAATTGCATCGATGGATTTGCAAGTTGTAGAAAAGTCAATTTCACTATAGAGTATAGATATTTACGACTTTACGGTAACAAGTCATTTCTTGCAAGTTCGAATCAAGTCACAAGTCGTTAATCTGATCAACAAGTCAAGTCACAAGTCACAAAAATTACCACTCAAGTCGAATGGATCAATAAGCAATAGCTCTTTAAATACTGTACGATAGGGTAATTAAACAGTTCAAAACTGACATCTCCAGCTAGTATACAGTTAGTTTAAATTCATATATTCTCACCCTTTTAAAATCGCTCATATTGGTCGCTGCTACTGTTGTACCAATGAAAGAAAGTGAATTGATTATCGTCGTCTCCTCGCCGCCTTGGTTGTCTTTTATAAAAAGCTAGTTGAAAATTAAATTGTATAATATATTAACCATTTATGTAAAGTGTCTCAATCCCTGGTCTGGCGTACGCCATACTCACCGTAACGGATTGCACATATTGAAATTTCACAAATTTCAAGGGAATTAGGACATCTTCAGCAACATTTTCTGCAGTAAGACTAAAAAAAATTGAATCAATAAATCGCAGATCATTGGTACCACAAATTAATTCAACTTAATTTATGAATTAAATCAAACTTCATTTCACGAAGTTTTACCTTAATTCCTGCACTGCAGTCGTTTTTTCAGCTTCATCAAATCCAAGCGTTCTCGTCAGATTACAAAATAACCTGACAGTTTTTGGTGCGGTTCCTGTACATAAAGATTTTGTACCTTAGTATGTACGCGAAGGATGGAAGAACATCAGAAAGAACATTAATTTTATGTACTATTTTTTTTCATTGGCGAAGTCATTTTAAAAATCAACATTGTCTAAGCTGAGAAAATCAAAGCTAAATTTCATGTAAATTAACATGATTTTTTAGTTAGTCAAATTTGTGAATTGGGCAGGTACATTATAAACCTCTATTCTGTTCCTTGTAAAATTAATGCCCAATGTTAGAACAACATAATAAATTTACAGTACCATCATCGGGTGCATAAAGTCTTAAAGAATGCAGTTTGACAGGTTGATTGAACGATATTGATATTAGCATCTAGAAATAAAGAAAATGTAGTCTTTATCATTTTGTAACACGTCCAATAATTCATTTGGATTAATACCAGAGGGGGCCATCTGTCAAGATGCATACATAGGCAATCAAACTATTGTCTTTGCAGCCCATCTTTATTCAAACTTTTGTATTATCAAGATTCAATTCATTTCTGACATAGTAATGAATACTCCTGAAGGTTTGAAGGATTCCTTGAATCTTTTGTGTAGGGGCTATAACCCTAGTTTTTTACGAAGACAGCAGGCATGACTCATCATCATACAGCAATCTTTCTACTGTATAAATCAGGCTACCCACCTGTTCATCACAATCACTTTCTAGATATAAACTTTTTCCTTTCTGAAAGACATTCTTCAAAGTCTGATCATCGCTTTCATTCAGACATTCACATTGAGATTTGTTGATCAGTGACGATAAATCCATCTGTGATAAGTTTATTGAAATATATAAGTCAGTCAGTTGTACAGCTACTTTTCGACAGAAAATCAGAGTAATTACCCATGCATTAATTTGAGTTGGACTGAGATCTACATACAATAGAAACCTATTCTAAAAGCTCACTCACACTCAATGAGTGGAAGTTCAATCTGAGCTTCTCTTGAGTGTCATTGCTGTTTTTGAATAGCTGGAGGGTTAGTGTCGTACTTCGCTATGTGACTACTCACCCTCCAGCTATTCAAAAACAGCATTGACACTCAAGAGAAGCTCGGATTTTATCTCCACTCATTGAGTGTGAGTGAGCTTTCAGAATATGGCTCATATTTATGACTCATATGTATGACTCATATTTACAAATGCTGAAATAAAACTAACATATCCTTTAGGGACTGTTCCACCAATTTCCTCGTAGTCTCCCATCCACTTCTTGATTTTGTCCTCTAAAGTTTTAGGATCGCTTCCTTGTAATTGATCTAACTTTACGCCAGATCGGAAAAGAATGAAGGTCGGTGTGCCTGACACATTGTACTGATTGCTTGTTTCCTAACGGCAAACAAAGTGGGATTAATTTAAGGAAAACCAAACCTTATTGTGCTGCGCTTTCAGAATTGTAGGGTGTGTTGAAAAAGTGGGAGCGGTCACCTTGCAAGCATCAACATCTACTTCCAGAAATACTGCTGATGTATATTTTAAACTGAGCTCTTGAAATTTTGGAGCGATCATTTGACATGGACCACACCTTGAAAATAAAATTTCAAAAATTAAGTATTCACTATTAAATAGTTGCAATCAAGCACATATAGACGAAACGCTTTTCTTGACAAGTTTTACTTGTTTGTGTGCATGGCAAAAATTGACTTTTTTGTTCCTTGACAAAAAGCCTTGTTGAAAAGCTGGGTTAAAGCTAGTCACGCCAGCTATTCAACAAGGAAAATTGTTTGTGCATATGGTCATCAAGAAAAACTTGACAAGTAATATGCATAGTTGTCACTGTATACTAATATCCGAGCAGCCATTGCCATTAAATCTTATTTAAATCAATTAACCCATTGAGCAGCAGCGCTCTCCCTTTGACAAGTAAAATTGTCTGGTGTCAGACAGAGTAAAATAATAAATTAAGTCGCATATGAGGGTGCAATACAGCTTAATGGGTTAAATTACATTTTCTTTATACTGGAATTGATTAAATTTAACCCATTAAGCTGCAGAGCTTCCCCATTGACGAATAAAATTGTCTGGCATTAGACAAGTAAAAAAGTAGGGCGCACTGGGGTGCATTGCAGCTCAATGGGTTAAATTTGCTTGTGAAGTGTGGTCAGCGTGGAAAGTTTGTATAGGGCAAAAAAAAATGTGGGTTTCCGGTTTCCCTACCCTACCTAGCTTTTGGACGTCGAAATCCCGACCCTAAACTTTTTTATTGGATCATGCTTGTAAGTGTTTCCACTTAGAGGAAAAAGTTTGTGGAAAATTGAAATTTGAGGCAATATTAGGGAAATTTATCTTTGGATGTGGAAGCACTGACTAAACAAAATGGCGTCCGGTTGTTAGGAAAATTAAAAAAGTTTAAAAAAAAAAGTTAAAACCGACCTACCCTACCTAAGTTTTTATGAGAAGAAACCGGAAACCCACATATTTTTTTTTGGCCTAGCGTAACCAAGATATCGGACATACAATTTTGATGCTTTCTATATATTTACTATTAAATTTCATAACTCTCTGGTGCACAATTCTCAAACTTTCCAGTCAGGATTAGTGTGGTATCATAGACTGTTTCAGCCGTTTGTAAGCAACTTTATGAATGAAAAACTGAGAAAAAAAATCACGTTCATCATACACATGAGCAAGTAAACTCGTCAATGAAAACTATATCGTCTTTACATGGCTTATCTCGACTGCAGTAAATTGTAAAGTACGGCCATTTAACCATTTTTAATATTTTAATATACAAAAACATGTACAAGTTTATGCAACTAAGTTGTAGTTTCACAAAGTTTATATGTAGGGATATTTCAAAGTTCAAAACAAAATATACCCACCACGATGCTTTAAAGTTGGCTATTATCAACGTTCCTTTCGACCCAGTTAACTCACTACGAAATCTTGAATCACTTTCTATAATTCTAACTCCACCTGAAGACGCCATATTGGAAATAAAATTTCATTAGTTTGTTCATTTTAGTCCCCAGTCTCGCTCGTTTTGTGGTTGCTCTGGGGAAATCTCGGTGGGGCGGTATGTGATCCTTGGAATATTTTTGCTTTGTTCCCTCACAAATTGAACTACAGGGTGTATAAAAAAAACGCAACCTCGGAATTTCCCACGAAATCAACATGTTTGAAAGACAAAAGATTTTAAGCACCTGAGAATTTAAAATAGCACAACTGTCAAAATTACTGCACACGCGAGTGATAAAGCAAAATTTATGCATTTGTTTGCAACAACAACAGTAATACTAGCTATTAGCAATTCGATTTCAATTCCCAGGGGCCTAAAATCTTTTATACTCAAGAAATGCAAAGTGATTTCTTAGAAAATTCCGAGGTCGCGTTTTTTTTCATACACCCTGTAGATCATTTTGCAAAAGCAAAATTAATCTTGCTTGGCAAATAGAACAGAAAGTCATACATGGATAGATGAGGTCTATTGTGTCTGCATCAAGTTTCCTAATCTTATTCGATTGAATATGGTTAACCCTGGGGTTATCCTTCAAGTGGCATTGTGCCCTCTGCCTAATGCCGGACAATTTTACACCTCAAGGGGAGAGTTCTGTCACCCAATGGGTTAAAACAGGATTAGATGAAAATCTGTCGAACATAGACAATGTTTTTATATTTTGAATAGATAGTTGAATTGAATAATTCGTATTTGAAAACTGAGTTTTGGCATTTGAAAACTGAGTTCTGGAATCTGGCTTTTGAAAACGAAGTTTTGGCATTAGAAAAGGATTTGAAAACAGAGTTCTGGCATATGAAAACTGAGAGTTTTGGCATTTGAAAACTAAGATTTGGCATTTGAAAACGGAGTTTTGGCATTTGAAAACGGAGTTTTGGCATTTGAAAACGGAGTTTTGGCATTTGAAAACGGAGTTTTGGCATTTGAAAACTGAGTTTTGGCATTTGAAAACGGAGTTTTGGTATTTGAAAACGGAGTTTTGGCATTTGAAAACTGAGTTTTGGCATTTGAAAACTAAGATTTGGCATTTGAAAACTGAATTTTGGCATTTGAAAACGGAGTTTTGGCTTTTGAAAACGGAGTTTTGGCATTTGAAAACGGAGTTTTGGCTTTTGAAAACGGAGTTTTGGTATTTGAAAACGGAGTTTTGGCCTTTGAAAACTGAGTTTTGGCATTTGAGAACTGAATTTTGGCATTTGAAAACGGAGTTTTGGCATTTGAAAACTGAGTTTTGGCATTTGAAAACGGAGTTTTGGCATTTGAAAACTGAGTTTTGGCATTTGAAAACGGAGTTTTGGCATTTAAAAACTGAGTTTTGGCATTTGAAAACGGAGTTTTGGTATTTGAAAACGGAGTTTTGGTATTTGAAAACGGAGTTTTGGCTTTTGAAAATAGCTTCAGGCACTTGCAGGTAGCGCCGCTATCTAGGATCCCAAGATCTGACAAGCATGTTACTTAGTGTTATTGTTACTGAGAATTAAAAATAATCTATCTATGGCAACAATAACCATGAACTCATGAATTATTTTTCTTATACAAGGTCTATTGCTCAGTATATGGTATATTAGTAAGTAATGCTGTACATACTTTTGTCTTGGCTGATGCAAGAAATGATCGGTTCATCGTCGCACTCGCATGTGTATTGTATTTTTGCTAAAGCAACCAACAGCTATGTTTTCATTTGACCATTGACATTGTATGATATCAAAACTTGGTAATCAAACCAACAGACTGCTATTGGTTGGTTGGGCATAACAAGCACAATACACACATGTCGATGAACAGACCATTTTTTTGCATAAACCAAGTTAACTATGGTTTAACTGGCATTACGCAGATTTGCTTGAAGCTTTTGAATGCTTGTCCCATGAGAATTATACAGACATTTGACCAAGAGTTCTATGTACTTAAAAACAGAGAGTTAGTCCACAAATCATTGATATTACACAAAATGGAACAAAACTGATTGACCACACAATGTTCACGGCAAATTTTACTTGACATGTCAGCTATTATTTTATGAACGAAACGCCACCGCACTTATTTGTTCCTCTGTTTAATTACTTGACCATGTTGTGATTCACAAAGTGGATGTAGTTAAAAATCTTTGTCTCTCTTTTACACTAGTTTGGTTAAGCCATTGTTTTGATGCAAAAAAACACATCTATGTACATAAAAACACCCAAAAAAATGAGAGCTGTCTTAACTGTAAGTATCACTGTTTATCTTTTTCTTAATCACTGCCTTTCATGTATTCATCTAGTTGTGAGTTTAAAACCGACTTCGTTTTTGACATGTATGTATCAAGCTCAGTGTCCAGTTGTTCTCTGGTCGGTGGCTTTTTATTTAAGCCACGCCCACGACCCCTTCCACCTCGAGTGCCAGCATTTCCTTGTTGGTTGGCAGGTCTGCCTCTTCCTCTCGTATTTTGTCCCCCGCGACCCCCTCTCGATGCGCCTCGGCCTCCGCGATTCATTCTGCCACCACGTGCCGTTCCTCTCCCACGGTTCGTACCACCTCTTCCTCTGGTTTGAGAGCCCCCTCTTGGAAACCTGGATGCAACACTGCCTCCCCGGCCACCACCTCTCTGACCTCTAGTTCTTACTCCACCTCGCCCCCGAACTTGCCCACCTCTCTTTGTACCCAAACGGTTAGCAATAGGTATACTAAGTCGGCTTTTTACAGTTCCTCTCTGTGAAGTTGTGTCTTCAATGCCCATTCGTTTTGTCATTTGTGCAGCAAGACGTCTGTTTTTAATGCTAGCAACATTTTCAGCTCGTAGTTTATTTCGCACATTATCCACTTTGCTTGTTTTTGCAATTTCACCAAAGCTAGATATAGAAGAAAAAATCCAAAATTCTATAGCATACAACTTTTACAAGGGTGAAATTCTTGACTTGTCTTACCGATCACTTAAAGTCTTTGACGTTGAACTTTTAAGAACAATTTTTCCAGGAACAGCAATATTCATCTTGAATTTCTAAAAAAAACAGCAACAATTTTAGGTTTTCACAATTTGTTAGCCAGTGTGCTTGTGAAAGCTATTCACACCCTTGAATGTCTGCCATTTTGAATGTTTTCAGGGGTGTGATGGCCTCTTGTAAGTGCACAAGCTAGGAACATGGCAACAGCAATGCACAGAATACCTTACAGAAGGTTGAATCAGCAAAAAAAGCATCACTGCCGCCCACAATTCATCATCAAAATGCACTTGCCATGTTCTAGCCAGTGGCCCCTTATAAGAGGCATTCACCCCCTGAATGTCTGCCATTTTGAATATTTTCAACAGTTGGCAGCCTCTCTTAAGTTGTAAGCACACTGGCTAGGAACACTTACTGGTCAAAATGGCCCCAAGTCAAAATGACTCCAAGTCAAATTGTTAAATGTTCACCTTTGCGTAGCTGTAATTTCTGGCAATGGATTTATTTCTGTTATTTAGTAACATACTAGTTTGACCAATCCAAGCTGGGCCATTTTGACTTGGGGCCGTTTTGATTTGGGGCCGTTTTGACTTGGGGCCGTTTTGACTTGGGGCCGTTTTGACTTTGGGCCGTTTTGACTTTGGGCCGTTTTGACCGAGCACCCTAGAAACATGGTGACAGCATTGCAAGGGTTATGCCAAAATCATAGGCACCGACAAGAAGTCAGACTTCTGTATTAAGTGTTTATTCTGTGATAACAGAAGTGAAACCTTTTGTAAGCTAGTACCTTTCAATACCAATTGAGAATACCTGCTACTTGTTAATTAACTAGCAAACAATAAATACAAAAATATCTTTGTTAAAGATATCAAAATAATCAAACCGTCCTATCCGAGGTCCTATCAGTATCTGTTATCAACTAAAACCAAATAATTTTTGACTTTTTATCGACTTTTCATCCACACATTTTCACTCCACATAAATAAACAGTGTTTGACCATACATATGTAAAGTTGCGCTATGTATAGATCACACTTTTAAAGTGTATTTGCCCTTTAATTACTCTAGCTTGCACAAACAGTTCACTGTGACATGGTGGAATTTATAGTTTTTTGCAAAGCTCGTTTAAAAATAACGCTAGCCATGCAATACTATGTATACTTACTTGCGTGTCTGCAGCGTTTCGAGGTGCTTTTCTATTTATTTCAATACAGATCGATAGAGATTGAAAATGCTTTCACTAAATCACAAAATTTACCTTCTCGATCTTCAAAACAGACGCCAAAGTTTACTAGTTATCAGCCCTTCGTTATATTTGGCGCGTCCTTAGCCTGCACACGGGCCGAAAGAATTCCAAAAATAAACACAAAAAAATCTCTTTTTTACCGTAAATAGACCACAATTCTGTGAATCAACGTAAAAGTTAATCTTCAAAATTGTCATTGCAATGATTTACAGTAAATAGCTTGAATGGAAAAAATGCAAACAATAACCTAACATTAACACAAAATATACGCTCTTACACCCCATTCATGGACAGCCCGATTTTTTCAGGCTTCTTCAGTTCTTCTCCGATTCAGGAATTTTTAATTTTATAGTGAGGAACGTTTGGAATTTTTGCGCTGAGATAACTGTTCTAGGACATATAAATCAAAGTAAGAATTTTTTAAATCGTTTCTAATGTTAGTTATAGGTTAGTGCAAATCGATTAGATATATTTTAGCTGTGAAAGAGGCCAATTTAAACCCAAATATTTAATATATGGAGAGTTGCGACTCCGGACTCACGGACTGCAATTAATCAGGCACACTGCCAAAAGTACGATATAGTATGCGGTTTTTGCAATATGGTTGTAATGAAATGCTTTGTACAGTAAGACGAGAGTGTGATGTTTATATTATTTCACAGTTGTTTCACTGTAATTTTTCACAATATTCTATCTAGCATAGGTGTAGTAAAGTAATTACGTCATGGTAATTACGTCAAAGTATAAATTATGTCACAACACGAGAACAACCTATTTTGAAGAATTGCCTATAAAGTTTGGCTCAGCCCCGGCTAACTGTATTATAAATTTTACACTAGATTATGGCCGAGAAGCCATCAAGCCCTGCATTTGACCTTGCAGAGTTAGTGTTGTGTTCAATATGTCTGGAAAGTTTTAAGGATGCAAGAGCGCTGCCTTGTCTTCATTCTTACTGCAAAAAATGTTTGGAAGGTCTTGTCACACCTCAAGGAAAGCTAACATGTCCACATTGCAGAAAGGAAGTTGATGTAAGTCAAGGAGCATATTACAGTAAAGGTGATGTAAAGTCCATAATGTAAACAAACGCTATGTTTACATTTTGAACTCACTGCTACAGTTGTAAAATATGATTAGATATATATTATACTGAATTTTTAACACTTTTCTGGTTTGTTATGCTTGTAAGTGGATACAGACTAGAGATTCAATTCAAGAAAGTTCGGAAAGAGCGAAATATTAACAACATTCCAAAGGTTGCTCCCCCACTGATGGAATGTTTTGATGCGCAGAATATATGCGCAGAACGGACTTTACCACATCTTTAAGAGTTTTAAATCCTCACAAACTCGCCAAAACGTGATCTTATTAGCAAATACATATTTACCTGTGGCTGTGACTAACCTTGTTGTTTTAATTTTCCTGTAAATTATTTAGGGGTCAGGCCTTGTATATTATCTACATGTAATGCAATCTCTTGCATCATCCTCTGCAAGACGAAATCTTTTCCATAAAGCCTGCCACACACAAGAGAAACTAGCTGAGCTAACTGCCTTGTGTGGCGGATATTGTAAGCTTTGTGCTGAACTGCTTGAATTAACTAGCCAATGAGAACCCATGGTCTCTTCGTGTGACTGGTAAAACTGGAAGAAATGCAAACAATCTTATCAATGCTGTCGCATAATTTTCCTAACATGTGCGATGAAAATGCATAGCTGAGCTAGCTGCCACACAAGGCAGTTACATTAGTTCAGCAAGTCTCTCTTGTGTGCAACTAAATCTCAATAATCCCATTACTTCATTTTATCTATTGGCTTTCCTATTCTTTGATGCTCTCTTTTGCATTTTTGCTTCTCTTTTCTATTTCAGCTTTGCTAAGCCTCTTGTTCATTTTGTAGGTTCCCAATGGTGATGTTTCGAACCTGAATCCAAATTTCATTGTGAACGATGTAGTTGATGCCTTGAATTTCACAGGCGATTTAGCTCCAACTAACGATGTGGCTCCAACTGCTTCAAGAAATGAGACTACTGGCACTTCATGCTGCACAGATCACCCTGAGAAAGAATGCGAACTGTTCTGCCGAAATTGTTCGAAACTGATCTGTTATAAATGCGTCTCAAACTGGGGTACTTGTGGCCAACATTCATACGAAAGCATTGATACAGTTGCTAAAGAGTATCGAAAGAATGTTGAAGATTTCTTGCAGAAAAAAGAAGCCATGTTACCATCTGCCGTCAAACATGTTGAAGTTCTTACCAAGATGAAAGTAAAGCAATCGGAAAATGTTGCTGATGTTACCCAACAGATTTCAGATACTTTTGCGAAGCATGTAGAAAGCCTGAAAAAGAGGGAAGAGGCATTGATCAAACAAGCTATTGATATGCATTCGAAAAACAATGATGGTCTTTCTTACGAAGTGGATCGAGTTCGGTTAGAGCAAGCAAAAATACAAAATACAATTCATTTTTGTAACACGATTCTTGATCATGACCCTGCTCTGTTTTTACAAGAGTACACTCAGGTTAAGGTTTGTATGAAAAAAATACTGTATGGGTTCGTAATGTATCGTGCAAGTTTGACCATTTTCCTGATGCATGCTACTAACTTGGCGAAGGACCGTTCTTGATCAGAATATAGCAAACTTTGCAATATTTACTTTTTATATTCTTGCCATTTTTTCACCTGCACAGGTATCTCAAGCAGGTTCTCAGGAATTGGTGTCAAACATTGACATGGCTGCTTTATGTTTCCAAGCGACAGATTCGTTGTTGACTGACGTGATATCAAATTTTGGAAATGTTGTTGCATATGACCAAGACTATGAAGCCGAAGAGAAGATGGCCGGAGCGGGGAGACCTCCATTGAAACCTACTAGATTGCCAACCTCGGACAAACCTGCTAATGAACTGAGACCTACTAACGAACTGAGACCTACTAATGAATTGAGACCTGGTAACGAACCAGGACCTGCTTATGAGCCATTTCCTGCTAACGAACCACAACTTGCAAGATGTGTTGTACAGCGTGCACATAGTGAACCTGGTGCAGGAGCCTCTGCCAAACCTGTAACCTGGAAGCTTCATAACAAAAACCTGGCTGGCCCACATGTTACATTTGAAGATAACGGATTTAGTGTGCGAACAGTAAGTCGAAAAAATGTAGCAATTATTGGAATGCCAGGTTTCCGGAGAGGGAAACATTCGTGGAAGATTAAATTTGTAGGCTATCCCGATGGTTTAAGCATTGGTATTTGTATTGGTCAAAATGGTCCTGGTATTGTTGTCACATACGATAAAAGACTTACGTATCTTGGTACAGGAAATCTACTAGTGAAATTGGATTGCGATGCAAAGAAGGTATCAGTTTTACCAGAAGGTACCTATAACCCACCAGATGTACTTGGCTTTGAGAATCCTCGGAACTTTGAAGTGCATCCATATTTTTATCTGCCCCCACCAAACGATAGTTACAACAAAATTACTGTTGTAAGTATTGACGGAGTTACACCTGAGAATGATGAGGCATGTTGTATACTATAAATGAACACAACAGAACAGAACAGAAGTTAAATTGTCTTGAAATACAAAAGTACTGGATATAACAGACTAACTGTAGAAACTGCAAGTACCATAAGTTAGTTAGTTTGTTAACTTTGAGTCTACTTAGTTAGAAAAATCTCAGTGTCTGGCTAGTTTTAAGACTGGAGTGAAACATTATGTGCAATGCTTCAATATATTATATGTATTTTGTTTCCTATATACATGTAATTTCTGTATATATTTTAATTTACAACTCCATAATAAATTAATTCATATTTTACATGTGTATATATTTATAGTACCCTTTACTGCCGTTCCAATTGAAGTGTTGCTCAAATATTGATTCAATACATTACCTCGGGCTGACCAATTCATTTCATCAAGTTCCTCGAGATATTCATACACTTCCTAGTATAATTGTAAACTTCCTGTTGAATAGTTTGAATGCACCAATCACCTTTGTTATTTGTGCAACTAACCAATCATAAATAGAAAGGAAGTGACCAGAAATGATCAAATACTTGGAATTGGCTCTTTCACAGGAAGTGTATGAATATCTCGAGGAACTTGATCAAATGAATTGGTCAGCCCGAGGTAATGTATTGAATCAATATTTGAGCAACACTTCAATTGGAACGACAGTAATAAGCCTGGTATCAGTTTGGTTGTGGTGGTTTCAAACAAGTCAGTGTTCACTATTGCACTATATTACATGGGCAACTTTACATGATCACAACAAAATGTAGACCAGGTTCTAACTATTGACCCCCACCACCCCTTTTTCTGTGAATATTGAACATGTTTGATACATTTCAAGGCATTTAAAATTCATTTTCGCTTGACCACCACACGTGGCATCCAAACTCGTCACCATCGTCTCACAAGGTTGACAATTCCCTCATTACCATTTCCCAATATTTTGCCTAGAAACAACAAGGAATAGATTAAAATATACTATCCCACGACAATCATTCATGAATTTTTTAACAAATTGTTGGGTGCATTCTTCATGCATTAATAATAGGCTGCGAGCGGTCCCTCCTTTCCATCGAAGTGTATGTGAATACTAAAGTGTGGTGCATTGCCACTTAAAGGGTTAACTTGGAATATAGAAAGATTTTACAATTGTGTAAAAGGTAAATTTCAACTGACTTTCAAAACTTCCAGTTCTGAATTAACACCATGTTGTTTTTGTTGAGATTGCATGTCTTTTTCGAACAATTCAATTTCCTAAAATAGAAGTTAGATTAAATTTCTGTTTACATTAATTTAGTAGTGAAATCCAGTGCAAAGAAAACATTACTTCTTTCAGTTTATTGTTCCTGTTTCTTGCCATTTCTAAATCCTTTGCAAGATGTTTCACTTTACTTTCATGACTTAGAAGCCTTATTTTATGCCTGCTCAATAACTCCTCTCGTTCTGCCAATCTAAAATAAAACATAAGCAATCATTGTTGATTAATTGGCTATCAAAAAATAGAATACAATGCTCAGAATTAGATGACAGAATAGAAACAGGATTAGATCACAGAACAGAAACCTTACAGAAGGCCGACGTCTTGGTTTTCATAACCAGTGCTCTTGTGAGGGGCATTCACCCCCCTGAATATACGTTTCAAAATGGTGGACATTCAGGGGGTGATGTCTGTCTAGGAACATGGTGACAGCAATTTGATCACAAATCATTGTGAATCATCGCGACCTTCTGTTTGTCTCTATTCTGTGATTAGATGGAACAAATGTGGTCAGCCTGCTGTTTTCGGAGTGATCGAGAAGTAATGTTACCATGCAATTTGAATTGTATATTTGGAATTGAATAAAATGAGAAAGTGTAACTTAATACTGGTGTCCCTCAACATTTGACCTAGCCTGCAAACAGGCTCTCAAGCTGAATTCAGAGCCTGCATCGAGGACTAATGAATTTGAATATCTGCCTCGCAATGTTCGTTTTTCAAAATATGGCATGTCTATCCTTATATAGCATTGTTTACAACTTTTGTGCAAACTAAATTTAGACCGTGCAAACTAAATTTAGACCGTACAGTTTATACTGTTTTCCGAAATATAAGATATAATTCAAGCAAAAGTTCAAATGTTTTAAATGCTGTTTTCTCAAAACAGAACATTTCGTGTTTTGAGATAAGACGGCCAAGACCAATTTGATCAATTAATGTGTTTTTTATGCATAGTGCTTCAGCAGTTGACATATATAGAGCTCAGCGGAAACATATAAATTATAGCATCTGACCAATGAGAATTTCGCGTCACAATTTGAGACGCAGATATTCAAATTCATTAGTCATCGATGCAGGCTCTCAATTCAGCTTGAGAGCCTGTTCGCAGGCTACATTTGACCAACATCTGCTGCCCTGTATTAAAACGTTTTAATACTGAAGCCAAACAATTCCCCCACTGTTTTTGGTATTTCAAAACTTCACAAAATAAAATCTCATGCAATTCAGTTCATTTTTGTGGAAAAATACTTTTCAGTTTTTGGCTACATGTTGTTGAAATTTTTCCATAAGATTCCATATTAAATCTAGGTTTATTTATAAAACTAAAAAGCTTTCAAATATCAAAAATATGGCCTGAGATCTTTTCACAGAATGTATATATATATATATATATATATATATATATATATCACTGAAGGTATACTCAGATAATTTGCATAAACTTACATATCTTCATGTCTTTGATTCAATTCCATTTCTTTCCTTAGCCACTTTTCTTGCACATATTCATTGATTTCCATGGAAAACGACAGTTTAAAACGAAAGACAACTTTTATTTTGTGTTTTTGTTTTAAAAAGGTCATCTCTCAAGGTCACCGAGCACGAAGGAAGACTAAGTCCTAATCATTTCAAGAATCCAATATGGCAACGGTAAGCACGTTGTTTATTTTTTTATTTTTTTAGCATATTTTACAAATTTTGAACACTTTTCGCACGAAATCTGGGCGCCAGATATAGTTTATGACATGCTGTTTTTAAAATAGGGGGATAGGAAGAAAAAAGAGAGCATTTTTGATTTGTCGAAATTTTTGGACAAGCCAATTCGTGTGAAGTTCCAAGGTGGACGGGAAGGTATAAATAATCAAAGACAGGGATAAAGTTCTTCACTAGAGATAGATCATCCATTAAGATATATACATGATATATCAGACAGATGATCTGTCTTAGTTTGAACACGAAATGAACTATCCAGGCAAACTACTGAAAGTACCTAGAAAAATGTAATCCTCGCGTCCTGTGAACAGTTAATAGTTAACTCATTGAGCCGCAATGTGCCCCAATGCACCCTACTTATTTTTTTACCTGTCCAACGCCAGACGATTTTACTCATCAATGGGGAAGCTCTGCAGCTTAATGGGTTAACCCATACGTTTGAAGGAGAGCCTTGCACATTAATGAGTTAATTAGTCCTATGAAAATAGCATTCCTAAAAGCGACGGGTAGGTGATTTTTTACGTTGCGCTGTTACAGATAGCTTTCCATAGCCTTAATGTCATATTTACCTCAGTTCAATGATTGCCCCCCCCACAGTTAAATTATGCTAAAATTAATTGAAATATTTACTTCTATTTTATTCAGCAACTGGTGTATTAAAAGGATTCGACCCTCTGCTTAACCTTGTATTGGATGGAACTACTGAATATCTGAGAGGTAACGAGAAAAAACTAACAAGACTATATATACCACACAATCCTACATTTCTAAAATCTACTATTGTTTCCTTGTAGATCCCGATGATCCATTTAAATTGTCAGACGATACTCGACCACTTGGACTGGTCGTCTGTCGAGGGACGTCGGTCGTGCTGGTGTGCCCTGTGGATGGCATGGAAGCAATTGCCAATCCATTTTTACAACAAGAATAACATGCCTCGTTACTGTACTGTCTGTTGCATCTAAGGATGAATAGTGATATATAAACTGTTGTCTATTTTCATGTGAAACTTTAAAATTTCTAAAGACCATTTGACACATCCAACTAGCCTCATATTTATTGACTGAGCTAATGGGAGACTCCACTATAGACTAAATTTTGATCTAGGCAAGAAGAATGAAATCCAACACCACAGCTAGAAAGAGCGTCTTAAAATGAGTAAAACTGCAAAGTTTGGTTGTGAAATGTTGTAAAATGAAGAAAATATAGCCCTGTGAATTTTGTATGCGCGGTAAAAATAACCACTTTTCAGCCGAAAGTGGTTATTTTTACCGCGCGTAATACAAATATATACAAAATTTGCGAACGTCACAGGGTTATATTTTCTTCATTTTACAACATTTTGCAACCAAACTTTGCAATTTTACTCATTTTAAGACGCTCTTTCCAGCTATGGTAATACATTCTTCTTGCTCTTTTTGTCTAGATCAAAATTTCGTCTATAGCTAAATTTCGTCTATAGATCAAAATTTCGTCTAATGAAATATTCAAATGCTCCGTTAGTTAACCCCCTACCCCCTTCAGACGTCCTAATACACTATTATCAGAAACAAATATTTCTCTCCTCCCCCTCCGGACAGCAGAAATATCCTCTGTGCGGCGAGTGTGGATCTTTTCTGGAATGACACATTACGGACATTGATGTTTCATGTGAGAACAGGCAATGTTCTTATCTTCCACTGTTCACCCTTAGATGCGAATGCTAGTAGTTAAACAGTTGTGGGTTGGTTGAAAAGTGCATGAGAGGCATTCAGATATTGAATATTGGGTGAGCTCGAGAATCGAATCTACTGTTGCGTGCCAAATGTGATATAGTTTTGCTGTACCAGAACGATTGTGATGATGACATTACTGAAGTACTCGAATAATAAACGTTTTAAATCTTGACTTGTGATAAATAGACTTTTTGCAATAGAGACGAATGCTATATAGCATCCCTATATATGATATAAATTATTGTAAATATTTTTCTATTATATTTGGTGATGTACTTGTTTCAAACAATAATATAACGTTGTGGCATATTGCTGCTCACACAACCTTTCGTCTTCACGAGTGAATAAGGAATTACGTTTGTGAGAAAATGATTTAATGAGATTCGACTAATACAAGACACCTAACTGGCTAACAACAACTTAAAAACTCAATCAAGGGACCTAGCCCTTTTACATTTAACCCACACAGAGATTTCCAAGTTCACGGATCGTCACAATTATAAATATTGGATTGTAATATATCTTTAGCATAGAGATTATAAATAACACTAGAGGGGGCATCGTAATCTTAATTCAGTCAAAGTTGAGCCAGAATCTCTAAATTGTTGTTTATGGCAGTTAAGTAGTCCCATTTTGATTTTTACCAAGCATGTTTACCTCAATTTTGTCTATAACACATTTTTGAGAGCGTTCCAAAATAATGCTGATGTCAGCAATTTTTATGTTTTCAAGAGGAACTGAATCGTTTGAATTCAAAATTTGGGGGGAATTTTTGTAGTGATGACATGTAAAACATATAAAACACCCAATTTTGTGACTCTTGTTTTAAATTTTTCTGGTTTCAAGTGTATTTGAAGAATTGTGTGGTGTTCGTCTGGGATTTCAATTTTCCCCCCATTACCGCAGTGTTATTTATAATCTCTATGATCTTTAGTCCAGATTTGCAAGCATGCAAACACAAATATCTCTATTACTGAGGTCACTATTTAAAACGTTCCACGTTTTACATGCTCCAATAAAATATAAAGTCTGGCATACGGCACAGCAGCCAATTAATAGGCGAGTTTTCAGGAAAAGATCAGCAATGATTTGTTCCGTGTCCCTTCATCAGTTGCTTCATGCGTTCGCTTGAACTCTGGATGGTTGTTTACACCAAAATGGGTGATCGTCAGACAAGATGAGGGCAACAGTCCGTGTCTTATCCAGGGGCCGGTTGTATCAAGCCCGTTTAGCTTACACGGTGGATAAGTCTAAATTAAATAACACTCTTATATTATTCGTGAATCAGTCAACTTAAATATTTTGCACTGAATATATAGTTGTAAACATTATCGTTCTATTATGGTTCAAAACTTTTAGTTTGGTTGTTTAATGAATCTATAGACTTGCTTTCTATTTTGAGCTTAACCACCGTTTAAGCTAAACGGGCTTGATACAACCGGCCCCAGGAATAAAGCAAAAATATTTTGCGCCTATAATGCATATCCTAGGTCCCTCAGCTTTCTTTCATGTGTCATCGTTCTCTTCAAGTCATTTGCTAGCTTTTTGGGGAGCCTCGTATTCCACAGACGAAAGACGTATTCGAAGCTGATATTTTTTCCAAGATCTTCTGGAATCTCGGAACTTATATCAATATCCCCCTCGCTGCCGTTGCGCATCTTTCGTACGATTCTAGGAAATTTCTCCGATGTTTTAGAAGCAGGCAGGCTATATCTTCTCATTCTTGGACATTTTCCAGAACTTGGTGCACTGTTCACAATTGAAGTGCAGGTTTCAGGACCAGAACCGCGTCTCTGCAAACAGAAAAAAAAATAGGTACGCGACCGCGTACATGTATCTGCGCATTAAAGGTCCAGACACGCCGGACGCGATTCGACAACGCGACGCGATTTTTCGATTTTCACTGACCGTTAAATTTAATCCAAGTTTAAATATTCCAAATATTTAGAAGCGCTATAACATTCTAAGTTACTTGGTCTACATATGTTTCTAACTGATTTGTCTCATTGGCTGTTTTTCAAACTAACTGAAAAATCGCGTCGCGTTCTCGAAGCGCGTCCGGTGTGTCTGAATCTTAAGGTCTGATTCCACGACGGCGAAATTCGTCGCGAGAACTTGTGTCTGCGAAATACGGTGGTTGCACATGAGCGATTGTATTGAATTGTCCCACTTTGTCCGCTTTCGCAGTAAGTAGAAATGTTTCGCATTTCGCCGAGAAAAAAACGCTCGTGGAATCAGGCCTTTACTCATTGATTGTGCATTCTCGAAATTACATTTTTACAGCAATTGTGCGAAATTGTGCTAGTTGAAATTATATGCCTGCTTCAGATATAATATTTACATTTAACTAGTGACTTCTAAATTAAGAGGACGAGAACCATTTATATCCCGAATCACGGCAACTGATAACAATCATACAAAAATTTTCTTTTTATCTGGAGCTAAATATCTGCTATTCATACAGTTCATTACTTTTAAGAACAATTTAAAGAAAATAATTAATTAAGGCTGTAAAATGTGTGGATTTAAAGACGTGGGATTAGACGTCTGTACATGGAGTCATGAGCTAATAATAGTTTCTGACATTTAAAACAACAGGGCTACGTTTATCCTATACTTTGTTT